GGTTTACACTGTCAATACAGGAGACAAACCAATGGGCCACTGGCTACTCATTGTCCGTGCATGATGGTCCTTGGCAAAAAAAAGAAATCTTCTGTCGGCCCGTTTTTTAAAAATGAGTGTGAATCCATTTTTGTGTTTAAGATTTACTGTGTAATGGGTATTTAAAAAAAAAAGAAAAATAGGTGTGGTGTAAATATGGTTAAATAATGGCATTTGGTTTATCAGCCACATGTGGGCCACATAAGGGCTGTCAGCCCTTTACAGAACTCAGCCATATAAGAATATGATATAAGGTCCATATATCAGCCACATCTGTTTTTATTATTTGACTCACTCTGGGTTGGGTTATGGCACTGTTTAGGTTCAGTTCTGGCTAAAAAGATGTGGACCAGTTTTGGGCCGGCGAACACAAACTATTCTGGGCCACACTTTAGCTGTTGATATAGGCCAGATCCACGCCAAATTTGCTGACTGGGTTGTGATTGGATGGTTTACACTGTCAATACAGGAGACAAACCAATGGGCCACTGGCTACTCATTGTCCGTGCATGATGGTCCTTGGCAAAAAAAAGAAATCTTCTGTCGGCCCGTTAAATGCATCGGCCCATCGGGAAAAAATTCCCGGTATGCCCGGTTACCAATACAGCCCTGAATACCAGTTTATGCTGTTTGATTCTTGAAGGTCTTAGTTGGAAACTGTTAGCCCCGGCTGGCCCGTTTAGCCCTTGCGCTCAGTCTAATCCTCTGTGTTTTTCTGTGTTTGCCTACAAGCTACAGTTTAATGACACTTATTGAAATTGATTGCTGCTTAAAAGTAACGTGACTGTCTACATACGAAAAAAAAAACTGCTGAAAGACAAAAGTAAAGTTGGGGTGCTTGGACTCTTCGTGTGCATTTTGTAAGCAGAGGTCACACATTGAGTTGTTCCACAAGGTGGCAGCACTGTCCCATCACAATAGCAGCAACTGCAACAACAAAAGACAGTGTGGCCAACTTAGCAATTTTTGTTGCTACTTTTCAGTCTACACAAGCAACTTTTCTTCCAAAAGCACCTAGCAACAAAAGTAGCTATTTTTATTATTTATTTGCCAACTTTTGATAAGTGATTCAAATGATAAAAAGGAACATTTACAATTTAAATTATACAAAAAGAGAAAACCAAATATGCCTAGCAGTACACACATCACACAAATTAAGTTAGCTGCTATTTGCAATTGTTTAATTTAACTCAGATTGCTCTTTTTTTTAGCAGTCATGTTTTACTAGAGAAAGTCTGAGGTCTGATCTTAAAGAATAAAAAGCTGTCAGGGTTTCTCTTTAACTCTGTATTCTCCAGTGGTTTCAATAAACTTCACTTACTTACTTCAATGGAAGCTTATTTCCCCCAAGGAATGAAAGAGGTAGATTTGGAGAATAAAGTCAGCATCGTTGAGATGTAAGCAAACTGTGAGATAGAAACTCACAATTGCTAGAAAAAAAGTTGCAATTATCTTTTTCATTTTTTTATTCTGAGGTGGAAATTAGCTTCCATATATTTAAAGTAATTTACTGCTTAAAATAGTATTTCGTCATATCTGTAAGAGCACACTTGTCTGCAGAGAGTGGTAAGGACAATGGCATCAAAGTTGAAAATCTACCTTTGGCAAGTTACAGTAACTTTTTTTTTTCAATCAAATTAGTAAAATATTTTGAATTCAGTTTAAGTTTGTGCATTTACGTTCAAATGGAAGAAATAAGAATTTAATCTTGAACCAATGAGAATCATCCAGTTGCATGAGCTATCAATAATGCAAGTCTGGAGAATCATGAGTGTTAATGAAGAGGGAGGGACGATAGCTAATTAGTTGAAATCTGTAGAGTACAAAAAGACCAAAGGGCATCATCTCAATAGTGCAATTAGCTGTTGGATAATGGCTGGAAGTTGGTGGTTGGGGCATTTATTGGCACTGTGTGCTTTCTGTCATGCACTTCCAAAGTTGAGTAATCTGCCCCAGAACCCTCAAGCTCTGATACTCCAGCAAACTGACCAGCAGTTTCAGCAGCCATTTCAACAGACTAATCAGCAGTTTCCTCAGATGTTTCAGCAGCCATTTCAGACTAATCAGCAGTTTCCTCAGAAGTTTCAGCAGCCAGTTCAACAGACTAATCAGCAGTTTCCTCAGAAGTTTCAGAAGCAAGTGTTGAAGGCAGAGCCTTTGGACAAATGTGCTGTAGCTGATTATGAGCAGATCCAATGTGGACAACCTGGTATCAGTGGTGCTGAATGTGAAGCTATCAACTGCTGCTTTAACGGACAGCAGTGTTACTATGGGAAGGCAGGTAAGTGTTGAGTCGGTGTTATGCTCCCAGTTAAACTGACCCTCGACATTAACCTGGTCTTGTGCCTTTGTTCCAGTGACTGTCCAGTGTATAAGAGATGGTCAGTTTGTGGTAGTGGTGGCTAGAGATGTTACGCTGCCTCGACTGAGTCTGGATTCAGTCCATCTACTGGGTGGAAATGACCCACCTTGCAGTCCTGTGGGGTCCACACCTTCCTTTGCTGTATACCAGTTCCCTGTGACCGCATGTGGTACAAAAATGATTGTGAGTAGCTGCTTATGGTTTTATTCTTCATGGCCTGTGATGGACTGGATGCCAACAGTGTTGCTATTTGCAGGAAGACAATGGTTATGTGGTGTATGAGAACCGAATGACCTCCTCGTATGAAGTTGGGATGGGACTGTTTGGTTCCATCACAAGGGACAGCCATTTTGAGTAGGTGATCTATGCTGTTCTTTGTTAATCTGACAAATGCTATAAGCTCCCCGTCTGTTGTCCAGGCTTCTCTTCCAGTGTAGGTACTCTGGCACTTCTGTGGAAGCTCTGGTTGTGGAGGTAAACACCGTTCCTCCACCTCCACCAGTAGCTGCCCCTGGACCCCTCAGGGTGGAGCTGAGACTAGCCAATGGCCAGTGTGTCACCAAAGGGTGTGCAGAAGGTATGTTCCTAGTATCTTAAGACTCCAGGTTGCAGCCATTTCTGGTTAATCACCAGTGTTGTTCCACAGGGGATGAGGCCTTCACGTCCTACTACAGTGACGATGATTATCCCATCACAAAAGTCCTGCGTGAGCCTGTGTATGTTGAGGTGCACATTATGGAGAGGACAGACCCCAACATTGTCCTGATGCTGGGACGCTGCTGGGCAACTTCAACCCCCAGTCCACTTGGTCTACCTCAGTGGGACCTTCTGGATGATGGGTGAGTGTAATGGCAATGTTTATACTGCTAGTCTGGGGATTTTCTGACCTCCCTTTCAGATGCCCTTACCAGGATGACCGTTACCTGACCACATTGGTTCCAGTGACTGGATCATCAGGTCTTCACTTCCCAACCCACTACAAGCGCTTTATTGTGAAGATATTCACGTTTGTGGATCCAGCATCACTGGCTCCTCTGCAGGAAAC